ATATAGGACTGAGGTAAAAGAATTTTTTAGATTTTGTTATATATTACCTGAAGATATATGTTTCGCAAAATGGAATATTGTTAAATGGATTAAAATTAATGACTCTCATTATGAGAATGGCATGTTGGTTGTTGTAGATTGGGAAAGAAGTAAAAATTCTTAATTTGGTTATATTTATATAATATCTGTATCCAGAGATAATATTGTATATTTTTTACTTAAGAAACTTACCACAGTAAATTTTAATACACATTTCCATGCTTATAAAATTGATTTCACTAATCAATAGCATTACTTACTTAAAATTTCAAGATTTGGCTATCCATACAGCAACCAACATCAGAATTATTGCTAATGATCAACGATTGGTTCCGTTCCGTTTTATTCTCCATTGATTTCTCTATATGAAAGATAAATCAATGGAGAATAAAACGGCTTTTTATCAAATACGTTTTGTATGATCATAAGTGTAAAATTATCATAAATCATAAAAATAATCGAAAATCATATGTTTTGTATAAAAACGTAATAATAAAACGTTACAAAATAATAGCTGTTTTTGTTCATAAATATCTTTATTTCATTTTATCACAAAAAGGATCTTGAAAAAATAATATAATAGATTTCTAACAATCTACAAATTCTCTTTTTGCAAGAATAGAATAAGATTTTTTTTCAGATTCGTCTATTATTGAATCAAGAATATTATAGGATTGTCACAAAGTTCTATCTGCATCTTTCTGAGAAAGTTAGAGGGATAGTATCAAAAATATTTTATTCTAAACTTAAGAAATTTTCTATTTAAGATGAAAATATTATTGTTTCAATACTAAATATGATTGGCCCTATTTCGATCCTATTTTATGATAGATTTAAGACTAATAGCTGAGGGTGGCGTGGTTAATTAAGGGCAGCGCGATGTTCGGCGTTGACACGCAAATCATTAACTCAGTCAGCTAACAAAAATGAAAAGAAACATTTATTGTAATAGAATAACTTTCGGAAAACAATGCGGCTATTTCGGCTTTCATTAATCAGAAAAAGCAAATAGATAGCTGATAACACGGGCGTCAAGTTTTGAACAATAAGAATGGCAGTAACGCGGACGTCAGAAATAAGCGGAGAATTACGTTAATTTAGTAAACGCGCGGAAGGCGTCGTTGATGAGCAAGATAATACTGGTAGAAAACTAAACTCACAAATACTTCGAAATCATAGCAGTCATCACGCAGATAATAATAGTAGAGTATTAAACTAACAAATAATATAGAATATCTACAGAAGTTACGACCGAATGCGACATAACTGGAATAAACGCGAAATAATTGTGCGTCACGCTCGGAGCGCGTGAAGGTCCCAAGCGGCGCAAGAATTCTGTCGCCAAATTGCCTTAATCTAACGCAGATAGGGAACGTAACACAAGTGACATCCCAACGTAATAATGGTCGAACGCAACGCGTAATATCGCATCGCCAAGGGTATCCTGACGCGGAGAATAAAGCGCTGAGGCGCTTTGGCATAACACAAAATATTAAAACTAACGCGGGGGAAGGTACGGAATTACCGCGAGTAATAACGCAATATTAGGTCAACGCAAGTAATGCCCTAATGCAAATAATATTTTAACGCAAATAATATTCTAACGCGAATAATATGTCGGCACGAACGACATTCCGACGCAAATATGATTCTAACGCAAAGGCTTGCACGCAGGTAACATCGGAGCGCAATCACATCAACGCGAATAATATCTCGGCGCAACCAATATCGCGTGGATAATCTAGATGTCCTAACGCGAATCACACCAGACGCAATTAAACCAACGTATTTACAATATGTATTTATTTTACAGGACATGTTCTACATGTCCACCATTGTTCTCCAAACACAATGCGACTCTCCGCATAAAATTTTGTCGCACTCTACTTAGTATGACGGGTGTAATATCGCGACTTGCTACCCGTATTCTTTCTATTAATTCGTTGCAATTCATGGGTAGTGTCTTATATACCTGATCGCGTATAAAACCCCATGCAAAAAAATCCAGAGGCGTGAGATCAGGTGATCGCGGTGGCCACTCGTGCAGATCACTGTGAATGCCTATCCACCTGTTCGTAAATCGACGATTCAAAATCGTACGGGCGAGAACGGAAGTATGGGCTGGATGGCCGTCTTGTTGGAAGATGATGTTTGGGCGGATGTGTAATGGAACATCTTCCAACAAACCGGACAATGTTTCCTCCAGAAACTCGGAATATACTTCTGCCGTGACATTGACATTTTCAGGGAAAAAGTACGGTCCGATAATCGTATCGTCCACAATCCCCATCCAAACGTTGACGTGAAACCTGAACGTGCGTTTCTTTTATACAGTGGGGGTTCTCTACCGCGTAATAATGTTCATTATGGCGATTAATCATGCCATCACTGCGGAAAGTGCTCTCGTCTGTCCATAATATACTCCGCAGAAAGTAATCATCTTCAATATCATCAATATCGTCAATCTGTATGATATAAAGGTACAATAATGTGTATCTGTGTATATTTTTAATGTTTTTTATGCCTTTTTTGCAATTTGTTAAAAATTATTATTAATTTTTATACGTTTTTCTCTATTTTCTTGGAAAACGGTTGACCACCAAACGTTTTACTGATTATATTCGTGACCACCAAACGATTCCGCGTCGATTGAGCCGTATGAAAGTCAATTTGATTGATAAATAATGTTTATCCATCAAATTACCGAGCTAACGTCACGGAGTCATACGACCAATGGCGTAAGAGTACGGTTTTATCTATTTCTTAGGAAAACGATTGACCACCAAACGTTTTAATGACGATATTCGTGACCACCAAACGATTCCGCGTCGATTGAGCTCTATCAAAGTTAATTTGGGTGATAAATACAATTTTTCCGGCTAATGGCACAGTGGTGATATGTCCAGCATTATGTGCATACGATTTTTTCTATTTTCTGGGAAAATGGTTGACCACCAAACGTTTTACCGATGATATTCGTGACCACCAAACGATTCCGCGTCGAATAAGCTATAAAAAAGTTAAAATGGTTGAAAAATAAAAATTGTCCGGCTAACTTCACACCGGAAATTTCATTTTTATTTTACAGGAAAACGACTAACCACCAAACGATTGGACTAGACTACCAAAGACCTTCTTTATTAAAAAGTTATTAACAAAAAAAGTTTGAAAAATATAGCAGCTATTTTGAGTATTGGAAGGCATAAATAACTAATACGCATACACTTTCCACGCGAACCGAGGTTCACGCACACCCTCCCCCTGCTTTCGGGGGAGATGCGGTAGTCCCGAAATAGTTCACGCATACACTTTTCACGCGAACCGAGGTTTACGCACACCCCCCCCCCTCCGTGCTTTCGAGGGAGGTGCGGTAGTCCCGAAATAATTCACGCATACACTTTCCACGCGAACCGAGATTCACGCACACCCCTCCCGTGCTTTCGGGGGAGGTGCGGTAGTCCCGAAATAGTTCACGCATATACTTTCCACGCGAACCGAGTTGTGTTTTGGTAAAGCATATCAAGTTATAGAAGTTGTGATTTTCTTTAAAGCAGGGCACACACACATGTGTGTATGTCCTGCTTTATAGAAGTTGTGATTTTCTTTAAAGCAGAGCACACACACGTATATATTAGTTATTTATGCCTTCCAATACTCAAAATAGCTGCTATATTTTCCAAACTTTTTTTGTTAATAACTTTTTAACGAACAATGACCGAGGGCTAAAACCTTCTGAAGGTCACTCAGAAGGGTGACCTTGACAACATATGTCAAGGTCAAGGTCAAGGTCAAGGTCATCGGAGGGTGGTCCCCTAAACTGCATAATTACCCTATTAATTGCCTCTTTTGCAATAATCATGTATATATACTTACTTGATGGTAAGTTTATATTTACTACAAACAGTTTGTAAACCTTCGTATTTTAAATTGACCAAAACTCCCAAGCTCCCCAAGCTTGACGACAAATTTCAAATTTAATGTCTCCTCCGAAAGATAGCCCAGTTTCTCCGCACGAGCCCCACTCGTGCGGGGGGTTCAGTTTGGAATATAAAAATTCCTGTGATCAGGTGGACTCGAACCCGGTTCCTCCAAGTTACGAGTCTGGCGCTTTATTACAAGACCACACTGTCACCCTATAGATACTTCCTGGATATCGTCCATTATTAAAATAATTTTGTAAATAATTAATCTAAATTACGTGGAGGTACCATAAAAAATAATTAAATATCTTTATACTTTTTAATTAAAATATCTATATTTGAATAAAAGTAATAGTTATTATATATGTACGTAAAGAGAATTTGCCTTACTTGCTTTATCACAAGATAACAAATAGATAAAATTTATTAGTTTATCCTGACTATCCTGACTATATTAAATTGTAGATGTAATGCTCCGTTGCCGCAATATGATTAAATATCGTAGAAAGTGTGGCAAAGCCGCGCGATTATTGTATTCTAGTGTAATTGCTTGTAATCGCGTTTAAGGATGTATGGGTCGTACAGTCCTGCTAAAAGTTAAACTTTCAATAAAAAAAGACTTTGCATGTATGTCAAACAACTCAAAATTTTTTATATGTTGGAAGGAATTACCGTTAACAATTTGAGTATGATTTTTTGTTATTTAAATAATTAGTATTGTTTAAACAATTAAAAAAAATTTTTTGTGGTAAAAAAATTTTGAAACTTACAATACAATATCAATGATGTATGTTTTACACATAAAAAAAGTTTAAGAAATATCCTAATGGTTTATTTATATTTTATTTATATTTACAGCAAAAATGTCGATTTTCTATAAGGGATAATGTCAATTTTATCAACTTTAAACTTAAATAACTCTTAAATAACTTAAAAATTTTACAGAGTATTTTTAATTTAATTTAGAAACAATTTACAGCACTTTCTGAATATATTTGAAATACCTCCAATAATACATCCTTAATTACAATAACTTTTAAACCAGTAAGAGAATTGTGCTGAAATTTTACACAGATACTTAGACGTAATAATAGAACAATCTATGAAATTTTTAGATTTTTGGTAATGCTTTGAGATGTCACCCATACATCCTTAATTGTAATCAACATTTTGTTTGTTTTAGGAAACAAATGTGAGAGCCACAAAGAAATAACAATAGAGAAAGAAAAGAAAAGGAGAAGCCGAGGAGGCGGCCAGGGATAACAGATAAGGTGAGTTACTGATGGAAATAGTTGTTTATTTGCGCAGTATATCGAATGTTTAATACATTGTGTAATAAATAAAATATTTTTTTAACGGCCTTTTAGTAATTTGATTGTATATCTCATATTATACGGTCGTATTCCATTTAATTATTTCACTTATTTAATTAAAATATTTCTAAATAATTAAAATTAATAATAGTTTAAATTACATCAGGATTATAATATATATTAGAATATTTATTTTAGACATTATTTTTACTTGAATATTTTCACATGTTACAGATAAATCTTATTGTACACTCCTCTGTTGTGTGATGTAAGTAAAAGGGCTCAGATGGAAAAACCCGAGAGGAGGATGAGGAAGCCTAGGAGAGGCATCGGGCACTAGCGGACCAACTTTGCGGTAAATATTAATTTTTATTTTGCGTCAGAGTAATTTTTGTCCTGTTTATTCTTGAGTCGTTTTATTTTACCATGATATATAATAATTAAAGAAAAACATAAGAACAAATTTTTATAAAATTTAAGTTACTCTTCTTTTTCTTTAATTATATATTGTATATCTAAAAATCTAAATCATGGTGAAATGAAATTAATATCTAATTGAATTTAAATAAATATTTAATTGAATGATTAATAAGAAGTTCTTCGACACGTAAGAATTATTTAATCAAATTGCTTATTTTTATGCTTCAGAAGATAAACACGGAAAATGTCGCATCGAGGGAATCCAAATTAACAACCCGAGAGGACAGCCTGAGAGGAGAAAGAGGCCTAGGAGAGGCATCGGGCACCAGCGAAACAACATTGTGGTAAATATGACTTTTTATTTTGTGTAACAATAATTTCATTTTTTGCTTATACTTGAGTCGTTTTATTTCATCATAATTTTGAAATAATAATTAGAAAGAAAGAATTAATAAGTAATTTGTATAACAGTTTATTTTTCTAAAGATGTTTTTTGGAAAATGTATAATTATTTAAATAAATGTCTAACAATAAGTGAATAATGAATAAAAAGTTTGATGCGCGTAAGAATTATTTAATGTCAAATTATTTATTTATATGCTTCAGGAGATAACGAAGCAGAAAGTCGAGGGAATCTAAACTAACAACCCGAGAGGACAGCCTGAGAGGAGGAGAAGGCCTGGGGACAGGCATCGGTCACCAGCGGAACAACTTTGCGGCAAATATTATTTTTACATTCTACCTGACTTTGATTATTATCTATTGTATCTCACCAACAAAAGATTTTTCTTTACTTTTTATTCTAACTCACAATACAGTACAGATAGGAATTCCATTCGCAACTGGTAAAAGTTGCCCATAAAAGCAGTTGGTTTTTAAGGAACTTCTATAAAGGTGTTTTTTTTTGTTTATTAATAGTAAAATATGTCATGTAAAACGTAGAATTGTACGATAAAAATAGAAAATTAAATATTTTTTAACAAACCGCGATTAAGGAAAGTAATGTTGTTCTCTGAAAATTGTTCGAGATAGACGATCGTGATTAACAAGGCGTTAAATATTTATAATTTCAATTCGAGGCTAATACGAGCCTCGAGCACGATAAACTGACGGAGTAAACAGTAATTGTTTACTCAGTTCATATCAATGATCAAGAAAAAGATTACTTCTTCACTCAAAGTTATAATTCATAAATAATTTTATAATGCGGTATTATTGTTTAGTTTCTTAAAAGAATGTATTTCTGTTAATATACAATACAAATTGAATGTTAGTCAAGATAACTTTTACAAGCTATTTCTTCAGCTCCATTAGATGATAATATCTGAATTGTCATATTATAATTATGATATTTACTATAGCTACGTCGATTAATTAGAAAAATTCGGGTGTGACACGCATCAGGAGATCAATTAGATTATAATTATGAGCAGTTATTGATCAGCGTACTTCTTCTTTAAATCGTTTATAGTCTTCTCAACTATTAGCCGCCACTTTTTGGGTTCATTCGTTACGAACCAATCGGTTACTAGGTTCATATTTTCTATTTGCTTTTGAGTACATCTCCTGCATTTAGTTTGGTAAGCTTCGCTGAATACCGCTGAAAACAAGAGAATATTTTGGTCTTTTATATTTATTAATTCTAGTCACAGTAATCGATTTCGCTCCTGATTAGTAAATGAATATCTATCTAATCTATAAATACGGTGAAATTAAAGCACAAAATACATTCAGAAAAGTGATATCCTTATGCTTTGTACATATAGTACCGGTTAAAAGTATTGCATCACTTATTGGAACACGAAGTCGTTATTTTAATAAGGAAAGACGTACTTAATTAATGTTAAAAAATTTTATTTTAGTACTGTTATTTTCTGCTTTAATAGAAGAATATTTTGAGAAAAAAACAAAGATCTTGATGATTTAATTGACGTTGAATATTCCTATCAAAGCATAAAACAACAGTATTAAAATAAAATTTTATAACATTTATTTACCATAATGATTTAATTGCGTTGTTTTATATTATCGTCAACGACAATTAAAGTTAAATTAAACCTTCGTCTTCTCGAATGTTTAACGTATGTCGTCGTTGTTTCAACACTCTTTTCAATTTTCAAAAATTATATAGCGACAAATTAAAATTTTGCTAAGATAAAATCTGAGAGTAATTGGGAAATATTACTTTGTTATTTGTTTTCTCTTCTAATGCTCAGCTTCGTAAAAAAAAA